CTGCTCAGGTGCTGCCTGTCATGTTTGTTGGGCCTTCTAATGCACTGTTTTCCACACAGCAAGCTATGGCAAAATACTTTTGTAGAGTTAGTTTTGCCAGCTTAACATACTGAAATGGCTCAGCGCAAAGTCCGATGCACCCTCAATGCCATGTCAAAGAGACAATCCAGTATCAAGTATTTCCCACTTCAAATTCTCCTCACAAAGGGGAATCTCTCTCTCTCACCCTATGCAAAATAAAATCCTTCTTTGACCACAGGTACACTGGCAAAACTAAAAAAGGCAACTAGTTTCAGAGCACATGTAGTCTTCAGGCCAAGTCTCAACAAACTATTCGGTATACACAACACACAAAGCTTTGAAACAATTTTGAGTTCTGTTGGGCTTGAAGAATAATACTGTGGTGTATGTCAAAACAGTGTAAACTACAGAGGAGCAACTACAAGAAATCAAAATGCCTCAGTCTCAAGGACTCACAGATGCACTGTTGACAGATGGTTATTGGGGGAATATGGTAAGTACAGTCTGCAAAATCCAACACAGATGCAAAAATCAAGCTAACACAAATACAAAATACTTCACCTGTCCTTGAGCTCTTTAAGAAAATGAAACTTAAAAAGGTTACACTCCTCAAACAATCATATTATTTTAAACTGAATGCATTTTGTGCCACCTAAATATAAGACGTGATTCTATGGCACTGCTAACACTAATACCTTGAATTTAACACAGCCTCAGGATGAAAAAGAAAGCCTTGAGCAGTTGCCCCATCACTGAATCTAGCAGCAAAAGAAGATAAATTTGTTATTGCATGCTAGGTGGGAAGAATAAAGGAAAAAATTGCAGAGTACTAAGAGACACAAGAAGAGTTACTGCAGAGCTGAAGTCTGCAGATTAAATATACTTAATATAGAAAAAAATTACAACCTTTTAACTTCGCTGGACGGAGTGATGAGAGCTTAACTAATTTACCTTGAGCTGATTATCATCTGCCCTACTATGTTTCTAGCCCACACTACATCCATGAATTCCTATATTTAGTATTATTATCATACTAATTTACATATCTTAATGACTTCTGCTTATTTGGAAAAGGCTGGCAGATGCTATGCTTGTTCTTACGAACGAGGAAAAGAAGCTTATCTTAGAGAAGCGTAGTTTGAAATTTATACATAAACAAGACTAGAAAAGCTTACATCCATTTACACAACTCTACATGAAGTGCAAGGTATTTTATTCTTATTTTAGTATCTTCAAGTGACCTTCACTGCCTTGCACCCAGAAACACTCAAAACGCCAAAATCCTAATTAGGTATTTTGGCTGCATCCACACTGCCTTTACACCTCTAACAACAAGTTCAAGAGTAAATTTGTCAGGACATGGGCAGAAAGCAACTTTCAGATTGTTGAAAGCACCAACAAGTGGTGCTTGACAAAGAATGGCCTTAGCCATGCTTTCCAAGGCACTTTCCCACATACTTTTGTACCTCCACACTCCCTATTCCCCAGGATCCCATAACACTCATCCAACAACCACCACAGAGCAACAACTTTGCAGCCTATGATCAGTGTTGAAATCACTAAAATCTTGTGAAAGGCCACAAATGCAGAGCTTTTGCTTTGTTAGGATGGCATCACTATCATGAGATGGACTTTGAAAGCCTGTGGGTGTGTTGCAGCAAGTGCACACACCTACAACTCTGTGTTCTCGAGGTCATGCCACCCACAGAGACCACAACTGACCTGCTGCAGAACCACAACTTGGTGAAACCATGATAGTAAGGACCATCAAGGCAGCTGATTACCCAGCACTGACCTCAGCCAGGCAACATACCATTGTACCTCAGCCAGCACACCTGGCTCCAAGGCCTCTCACTTCAGTAGAAGTAAGTCTCATCCTGCTTCACCTGATTTTTCAGTGGGAAGAATGAGTCTGACTGAGGGATCTGACTGAGGCATCGACAATTTGAGATAAGCAGGTCAGGTGCAGACAAGCCACATGACTGAGTCTGGACTCACATCTTCACTTCACATGAGCTTTTTCTCCCACCTTATGAGCCCTTCAACCTGAGGATACAGCATTTCCAAAGGAAGAAAAACTGCATCAGCCCAGTCACCCAACTTTTAATGGGCTCCATCAAACAAATAGGAGAGGATGAGGAGGAATGCAGGCATAGTCTCTAAAACACCAAAATGAAAAATGCATGAAAAAAAGGCAAGATGGTGACTGATAATTCCCACAGAAGCCTCAGGCTTTGGTAGATGTCTAGGTGGTAGCTATAATGCTAGAAGCTACCGGACCAGCAGTCAGACCTACCTTTCTATCTCTACTTTGCAGATGGAGGATGATACAACACCCAACTGCTCAGATTGCCCCAAAAACACATGGTCTGAGGTTGCACACTGAGTAAGATTGTGGCCTGCTTCATTAAAGCTATAGCCTTGATTTAATAACATGATCTCAAAATTACTTCTACTAATAAACTGTTAGGGTGGGAGAGTTACCAAAGAGATCACTTAGGTGAAAAAGTAAGAAACTTAAATTCTACAAGAAATGTAAAGTGTATCCTGTTGTTACATAACTGTTCTGAACATCAATAATTATTTAAAGCACATCCACTTCAGAGGCCTTCAGACACAAACAGCTGTAACAAGCTCTTTGTCTGACAGTACAATTAAAGCATAAGGGAAGGACTCCTTTAATACAATGTTTTACAAATCACTTAAATGAAATTTAGACATTATTTGTGTAGTCAGCTCTCCAGTAAAGAAAAGAATAAGCAATAATATGCAAACACTGTATGCAATGGTGTGCAACACATGGAATTATTTACTTGCACTAAACCTTCATTTCAATACTAGTATTTTTCAGATTATTTTTTAATGATTAATTTCTATGCATAACAGTAGAAGTCAAGCAGCCTTCCATTATACAGCCTTTTCCTGTTCTGCTAACAGAATCTAGATGATCTTGATCTCAATGTCTTTTTCTAAAGTGTACAGCATGTGAAACTGTTTTCATAGATTGTAAAGGACAAGAAGAGACAAACACAGAGCATTCATGTTTACTATGGTTACCTGAAGTTGCTGTTCCTTGAACATATCTGGATGTGGAGAATTGAGTATATCATCTGCCAACTGTGCTTGGCTATCAATATTAACTGGGGTTGTAGCTTTGCTACACAAGAACTTGCTGAAGATCTCTCGAGCTCTGTAAGAAAGCTACAGAAAAGAAACATTAAATGTATGTTGGCTTTAAAACCATACCTTTTTAGATAGGTGTTTCTTACACTGACATATTCCACCCAAAAATCTCCAGCCATTCCTGTTTCCTTGATATTTATAGTTTTCATATATCAGGATTTTTTTAGTTTTAGGCATATAAATAGGTTTGTTCTTTGAAATTGCAAATATTCATCAAATAGTTCTTAGGTAGTAAAAGTTGTCAATAAAATAAAAACTAAAATAATCAAGCTATGAAAACAAGGAAAGTCAAGCACAGCAATTTATTTCTTTTACAAAGAGAGTAGATTTTTTTAGATTTTAGACCTTTCACATAACAGTTACTATTTAAATAAATCCTCCAAGATTAAATTCCTAGAAATTTGAAAAAGGTAAGTATATGTATCAATATTTACAGTCAAACCCATTCATTTTTAACTTGTTTACCTTCAAACACCCACATCATGGAAATAATGAAAAAACACCAAACTAAGCTCAAAGCCTTTAAGGATGGTGTTCAGAAAATACACTGTTTGAAGACAGAAGAAAGTGAGGAAAAAAACCCCTTAGAGGTCCACAAAAGAGCAAAGAGAGACTTGGAAGATGAATCCTTTTCCACCATGTAAACCTGACTAGACATGGCTGTGGTTGCCAATTTGCACAAAATTCACCAAAACTGCCTGACCAATGTAGGACTACCTTAAAAAGATGAGATGGAGATTCTCATAGTTTTAGAACAAACATGACTACACTTAGAGCAGCAGATAATCTAGTTATAAACACATTATGTTGGCTGGTGGAGGAAGTCTTGCTGAAAGAGCGTACGAGGACTCTCCTTGCCACGATAAATTAGATTGCTCTGCATTCCCTTGCCTTGGGCTACCACAGCTGTCGATTCTCAACATCCAGTATACCTTACCTCATTTTTACAGAACTACCTCTGCACTTCACTGCAGTTTAAATATGTTTAACATCTTAACTTTAGGTCAGTCAACCCTATTTCATGATGCCTCAGTACAAAGACCAAGCACAGCTCCAATCATTTAAATAACCTCAAAGAAGTAACAATTTTTGAAGAAGCAACACCATGTACTGAAACACAACACTGACTTACCTCTTTTTTATCATGTGCTGGTACATGGTTAAAATATTCACAGGCCTGCCAAAATAAAATATTTTCTTCACTAAATTCTTTCCGTAGAAATTCCTACAGGAAAAAAAAAAGCAAATAAATAAACATCTCAAAGAAAAGTTACTTGTCAATTCAAACATCATATTTATAATCCCTTCTAAGTTTGCATAATGGTAACTTTTCAATCCGTCTCACAGTCCAGTTTTTTTAGAAAGTAATGCATGTCCAATACATACCTAGTGCTTCTCCTCTTTATCACTTCTTTTTAAATGTATATAACTGAGAAGAATCCATCAAGTTGCAATCAAACAATTTCCAAGTACAAAGATGAAGTTTGAAATGTCATGTTAAGTAGTGTATAAACTAGTGAATAAACTTTTAATAAAACTTTAAATAATTTATAAACTACATTTAAAAATGACACTGCAAACCATCTGTCTTTAACTGCAGCTCTGCTGACATAGCAGAGTAGAAGTTCATCGAGCAGTGCAGCTACTATCACATAGAAAATACAGAAAAATCTTTTATCACTGCTTGCTGATGTGGTTTCATGGGCTCTCCTTGAAAAATACTTATTTAGAGGGAAAAAATATCTCCCAGTACAACACACAATAATCAGAAGATTTATATTACAGCTTGCTAAAGTCCAAATGAAGACTAGGACCCCATTCAGTTGGAAAACTCTACAACCACAAACTGTCCTGTATTCAAATCTGTATAATTCAACATTCTTTCAGCATCTTACAATGAAAGCATTTGAACCATTAAGGGGGGGAAAAACTATTTAAAAATTAACTTGGTTCTCTAAAAAAATTATCTAGACACTTTTGTAATTGGAACAATGCTAGATTATACTTTAGAGCTTTTAGGTATCTGTGTTTAATTGGAGATATTATTCTAAGTGAGCCACAAACCACAACCTTTATTTAAGTGTCACAATGGTATCACTGAAGCTTCCTTATCATCCAAGGCAGCCTCAGGAAGCAGTGTAATAAGAATCTCCACAGAAATACTTAAGAATTAAGTTTATTTGTGTTTTTCAGATTTCCACAGAGTTTAGGGAGTCCAACTGTAAGAAAACAATTGAGATAAGCTACAATGCAGGGAAATTAAATCCCCTAGAAAGCTCTCAATTTAAATTAAAAGTTCTTCAGATACATAACCTGAGACATCAGATGTATAAAAGACAATCCAGAGAGTAGTCAGGGGACATTTCTGCATTTTAGATGTAATTACATATTAAAAGATAATCAAATTAGTGAGCAGGAACTGGAACACAACTGCCTACTTCCCCACTCAGCATACTATGAATCTACAGTCCATCTTGCTTGCTTTGTGGCCCCACAATTTGGGTATAGCTGGCTGTACAACAATTCACCTTCACCAGGAAAACTAAGTGGTGCTCCAGCTGGAACATTAGGTCACCCCACAGTTGTCACACATAGCTGGGAAGCTGTGGATGTTGGTCTGAACCCCTTGAGGTTAAAACCTGCAAACAGGTCTCTCACTTCCTGGCTGACTGCTCTAATCAGCAGGTTATTATGCAAAGAGTTGAGTATTTGCAAAACATGCAAAATCTCTCCTCGAAGAGTAGTTCCTGCTCTGTGACAAAGCTGTCCTCAGGAAAGGCAGATGCATGCTGAATCCCAAATGCACCGAGATGTAACCATGAATTAAATGCTGATGCTCAGTGTACAGAAATCTGTAACTGCACAGTGTTATTACAACCTGGTTGCAAATTAGTCTAAGCAATGGCTCTGGACATCTCCTGGGCCTTGAGAAAATGATGGTGCACACAATAAACTTCAGCATTCCCTAATTGTTCTTTAAACTAGGTATTTCTTTAACACATGCACTTTTGCAATGTTTATAAAAATAAGTCCTAATTAGAATAAAATTGGGGGTGGAGGGGGAGTAAAACTTCCAGAATATGAGGTTGCCTTTTTGCTGAAATGTAATATACCTTTAACCTTTTAATTTGCACGTTAATTAAAAAGACATGAGCTACTCTCTGTGTTTTTGATAGGTTTTGAACTTTCATAGGAGTAAAAAATTGCTGCAATTTCTTAAGTGTACCTAAGTAAGTTTACTGATGGTTTACAAGTAACTAGAAAAGCCAACTAAACTTTCAGTAGCATCCCCACAAACTACATAATTTTTCAGGTGAACTCTAACATCAGATCAGAATTGTCATTTTTCTTCCAGTCTGACAAGAATTCCTACAGTATCTAAGCAGAAATGCTAATAACTCCTAGGCTACTCTGCTAAACCACAGAACATAATATCCAGGATATGTTACTTTGCTTTCATCTTCTCTATTTCCTCAAACAGATGTTCATTGTTAATGTGGTTTTTGGGTCCACACACCAGTTAACATGGAAGTCTGGTTATTAACTATTGTGATATCTTAATCTTTTTGTATCAAGTAAAGGAGTCTTTGTGAGTTACTGCACATTCCAATAATCTATGTCTCCTACACTACAGGTTTCTTTATATTCTCTTTGTGAAAACTGTTCTTGTGTAACATATTCAGAATCAGCAACATACTCTCAGTGCAACAAAGCAAAAGTATATACACTCAATTTCCTTGCATGTAAAAGAGAGATGATGCTATTTACAACTTCATAAATGTGCAGTGAAGAACCTTAATTTATGCTCTGCAATACTCAACACTATTCCTGCAAGTTCCAGCTTTAACCAGCGCTCTTAGCTACCGTAATTACTTCCAAAATGTATTTCTGAAAACCTTTTACAGGAAGATAACCCACTATATCATTGAAAAAACTTGTGTGGCTTCCAACGTTTCAGTAGACAAATGTGAACAGTTACCTATTCTCAGGGAACTACTAAAACTACTTCCTTTTTCTTGTCCAAAGGCTACAGATACAAAAATAGCAACATGTTTTACAAGATGAGGAAGGTTTCTAAAAGTTCACAGACAAAGCAAAATATAGCTTCCATTTTTATCTGAAACTTCTGCTATGCATAAATGCATGGCAAGATATGTCTTACTATGAACTCCTATTCAACCAGTTTAAACTTAGAAAGATGCTGAGATACCAACTGAGCATGAATTAACTCCCATCTCTTGTCCTGTGCAAGGATAGTGTCAAGAAAGAAAAAAGAATACAGGAAAACTACTGCAGCAGTATCATGTGTTTTGAAAGGCCTCTTATCGTCCCTCAAAACTCACCGAAAAATATTTAATACCAACAGAATCCTGAAGAAGTCGCTCAAATGAAACAGCCCAGCTTGCAACTCTTCTTTCTCGAAGTCGTCGACAGCTCTGTACACTGGGAAGACTGGCATTGCTACTAAGGCTGTTTTCACTGATGCAGTCTTTTAACTCACTGCTATTCAGCTCTGTTAATAAAGGAAATGAACAAATGTGTCAATAAAGTACTCTTCACTTCTATTCTTCAAAGCTGTTTACTTGATTTATCACACCTCCTGCCCAAGCTCACAGTAGCGCAGGCTTCAAAATAAGCCTCTCCATTTTTATTAAGAGCACTTGCTTAGAAAAAAAGCAATTCCAAACATCTCTCAAGTTTCTTCTGTTCTACTGCAAAGAAAACTAAATTAGTTTCTTAAAACCAGTCTCCTGCCAGAAAAAAAGAGGGTCAGGCACAAAATGAAATCTTTTTCTCTTGTTGCACAAAATAAAATACCTTGGACGAATTTTCCTGCTTATATTCCTCACCCCACAGACTGCACTCAAGGAAAGTACACCTTCAAGAACCCACCATTCACCAGAATGTGGGATAAAATCTATTTGGTGATAGGAGATAGCAAAATTTCATATACATTTAAATCGGTAGAGACAGTGAATCTGTGAAACTTTACACTGAAATACAAGATTCCTGTTAAATACTGAAAGTTTAGTAAAGGAGTCAATTGAGGAAAAGAACATGAAGGAAAATGAGTTATTAATGGATGATCTTTGAGGTCTCTTCCAACCTGGTTGATTCTATGATTCTATGATGCCTTCCTCATCCACAGCAAGTAGAAGCATCAAACCATACATCCCCAACTTATTATGGTTTCTGACAAAAACAGGGATCTGTTACTCCCTTCCAGACTCCAGCTAAGATACTGGAATAATCTAGGGACCCCAAGATGAGAAAGGAACACATTCTTAGATCTTGAAAAAAAAACCAGAAGTGCTTCTGTATTCTGAAAAACATAGAGAGGTCAGGAAAAAACAACCTTGTGCAGCAGCTCAACTAATAATTTCAAATACTGACCCCAGATCATCTTTGTCATATATCAGTACATAGAATATGCAGACAAAAAAAATCTTGAAGTGACCACCTGTTCACAGAAGTGGAAAGGTGAACTGCTTAGAACAGGGTTCTAGTTACAAACTTGTCATTTATTTGTTGCATGCCCAAAGAGAGACAGTAGAGTCTCTCCATCTCTCAGTGTACATAAATGTAACACTGGTATAGTACCCACAGACACACTTCACAGAGGTGATCTAAGGTTTAATTCATTGTGAAGACAAAACTAAAGCCTTATCTATCTGGTTGGATCTCCTAATGGACCCTGCTTTGAGCAGGACAGGTTGCACTAGAGAGATGCCAACCCAAATGAGATTCTGTAATGAAGGGAATGAAAAAAAAGCAGGCATTCAATTATTTGTAAAATAAGCAGTAACAGACATGACAAAATAATATTAAAATTAAAGAGATGGTATATTCAATAATTTCATGCCAAATGGAAAAGCAAGTATGCAGCTCACTAGAAATGTAAACAGATTGAGTAAACTAATCATCTCTGGAGATCAGGAGAAATGCCTGAAGATTGGAAGATGGCAAATGTCAACCAGTCTTCAAAAAGGGCAAGAAAGTGGACCCAGGGAACTATTGGTCAGTCAGCCTCACCTCAATCCCTGGAAAAGTAATGGAACACCTCATTCTGGAGGCAATCTCTGCCCACATGGAAGAGAAGCAGGTGATCAGGAGTAGTCAGCATGGGTTAACTAAAGGTAAATCATGTTTGACAAACCTGACTGCCTTCTACAATAAAACAACCGCCTGGATGGATGAAGGGAGAGCAGTGGACATTGTCTACCTTGACTTCAGCAAGGGTTTCAACACCACGTCCCGCAGCATTCTCACTGGCAAACTCAAGAAGTGTGGGGTGGACGAGTGGACAGTGAGGTGGATTGAGAACTGGCTGAGCAGCAGATCCCAGAGAGTTGTGATAAGTGGCAAAGTCTAGTTGGAGGCCGCACTAGTGGTGTCCCCCAGGGTTCTATACTGGGCCCAGCATTGTTTAATCTATTCATCAGTGACTTTGACGAGGGGACAGAGTTGGCTTCTCGGCAAGTTCGCTGATGATACAAAACTGGGAGAAGTGGCTGATACCTCAGAGGGCTGTGCTGCCCTTCAGAGGGACCTCGATAAGTTGGAGAGATAGGCAGAGAAGAACAAACTGAAATCCCACAAGGGCAAGTCCAGGTCCTGCACCTGGAGAGGAATAATCCCAAGCACCAATACACGTTGGGAGCTGACCTGCTGGAGAGCAGCTCTGCAGAGAAGGACCTGGGGGTCCTGGTGGACAACAAGCTGTCCATGAGTCAGCAGTGTGCCCTTCTGGCCAAAAAGGCCAATGGAATCCTGGAATGCATTAAGCAAAGTACTGCCAGCAGGTTGAGGGAGGTGATTCTCAACAAGGATAATATTTAAGGACAACAGTAATGCATCAGATATATAAATATTTTTCTTAGCCTAATCACCATATTAATCAGAGCTAATTACAAACACAACAAATAATGCCACATTTTCTTATATAAATATTTATTCACTTTTTCCTTTAAGGCATAGGAAAGAACATAACCAAGTCAACTGTTAGCTTCATTAGAGAATACCTGTCACCACAGTGAAACTATTGTGAAAGAAGCTAATGTGAATCTGAAGAGAATGATATCTAAATTTATTATCTGAAGTATTTTGCTTTAACTCTGCAGGTGGATACATTTTATTTTACAGTCCAGGATATAAATAGACACCCACTTCTTGATAGATCTGGAACAGTTTCAGATACTGCCTCGCTCCTAGAGGGTTCAATCCCCAGCGTTCTCCAGTGATGAATGATGAAAATTTCCTTGTTCCTTCCAGGCAAAGTCAGAAAGGTAAACTCATCCCACATACCAAACCCTTGAAACCTACTTGGCTGACAGAGGGAAATTAGGGAGCAGCCACACAAAGTGCTCAGCTCTCGATCCAGGAGTCACAGTGCCTTAGGACTTAGAAGGGATTGCAAAGTGGCAGGCACAGCAGTCATTAGCTGGTCAGCCTCACCTCCCTCCCAGTGGCAGCCATTCAATTTCAGAAGGGAGACCAAACTGCAATTACAGCCTCCAAGAGTTTACACCAGTGAGTAACTGCTAGCTACCTTTAATTGCTAGCAGCTGCTCACTCTCTCCAGCTCCTCAGAGTTACACTCACTCTGAACTTCACTGGGTTCTCCTTCCTCTGATACTCTGCCCACTCCAGAGGTCCCATGAAAACAAATGAACCAAAATAAGACTATTTGCAACAACTGTGAGAGCTACTGGCACAGGTTCTCCAACATGTTAACGTGGCATTAAGGGATTACTCATTCCCAGTAAACTGCCACTGTTCTGGTGGACTTTATTTAGTTAATTCAGACTTTTTTTTCCACAAAGAACTATTTGGATTTATACTTAACCCTGGCATTTGCTTTGGTTTTCTTTAAAGCAGAAATGCAGTCAGTTTGCTTTTGAAATCTGTAGAGCTTTAGACTGGGGTATCTGTCAACCTGAAAACAATGCAGGACGAGGCTGTTTCCCAGAAAAGGCTTGGTAATTCTAGTTTGTTTTACCACACCAATCAACAGTTGCACTTAAAACAGTTATAGCCTAGTGCAGATACACCATTTAGAATTGAGAAAAAGAAAAATCAGATGGACATAAAAAAACTTCCCTAACACTAGCACACAATTTATCCAAATCATGCTTAAATGAATGCTGTATAAGCCATAACTGCTGCTCCATTCCTCTTGTGGAGGAATGTTTCCTACGTAAGACGTCAGCATCAGGTTTCCTAACTCTCACAGCTCCTGCATTCCTAGGTACACACAGCCCACCTTGAAAAGCAGGAATAGAGGAACTTTCCAACTGGGTCACATGTTTTGTCTAATGACCACTCTGTGTTGAGCATCAGAGAAAACAGAGCCCTGATTCCCACCCTCCAACACTCTAATTGCAAGGCTGTCGTGCAAAGTGGACTCCTCCTCCTCATAAAGTACTTAAAAAAACAAAACAAGGTATTGGGAACCTTGGGATGCCAGAGAAGCTTAATCTGAAAAATCCCAATTCTGCATGGACAACTCTGCAGTGCTGAGAACTTTCCAAATGTCTCCCTTCCTTTGCCCAGTCAGAAGCAGCAACTCAACTTGCATTACCTGTAAAGGAGGCTTGTTGCTCAAGCATCCCAGGGACCTAAATTTATTTCTGTTCTGTTTGAAAGCAACCATACCTAGTGAGGAAAAACTACTTTCTGTGCAAGCTCATTCAGTTTCAATTATTGCCTTTTAAAAATACAGAACTGACACAAAGTGCCCTCTAAAAAGTCCTCAAAAACCAGTATTTTACACCTTTTGTGTTTATGTATTCTCTGGAGGGTCTTAGTTTTATTTATTTTACAAAACCAGCATTGCATAAGAAAATGCATTTAATCAACTATATCATGAAAGTATTCAGGATAAAATGGCTTGGAAAGTTTGGATTTAAATAACATAAAACATTAAGCCTGAATACAATTCACGAAGGATATTTTTATGCATTTGTTTATAAAATCCATATAAATTTTTCAACCTACAAATACTTTCTAGTATTGTGAGAAGCTAAACATCTTCTTTGCAACCATCGGAATGCAAACACTCATATCATCAAGATATTCTAGTTAATCACTAAATGCATTACCTGGATAAAGCTGATAAGAACCACTGTGGTGCCACCTAATCAAATACTTCAACCTCTTCACTGCAAGCCATCCTTCTGAATCCATACCAAGTTCAACTGTAACGTCCCGGAATCCATTGGGTGTAGATTAGTCTTACTGCGCAGCACACTGTTCCTCTGCAATTTTGGGATGAGGGAAACTAACGCATTTCCCCCAGAAATTCCTGGTAGCCTTTAACACCATTCTAAACAAATTGATTCTTTACCCTCGTGGCTCCAAGCAGAGGAAAGCAATAGTATACTTAACACAACGCATTATAAAATGCTGCATAAATAATTTAAAGAAAAGACCTTTTGCCACTGCTGCTAAAGGAACTTGAATTATTTATGCTACAGTGGAACAGCTACAGCAAGCATGCAGCACCAGCGGAACTGACAAATAACTCATATGCCTGTTGGAGGAAATAATCCATCTGTAATTATAGTGTAAAGAGCATAAACAGTGTTTTGTTTTATTTTGTACTTCCTTGCGGATTTTTTGCTCTGTCTTCTTTAGTTACTTTTTAAAAACCCAGTTTTACATTATTTATTATGGTAAGCATCAGCCTCCTTTCGAAAAAGTCTTTAAGAACTCTCTACCTTAAGAAAATTCTTTCCAGGTGATGAACATTACAAGCAAAAATCAGCAAAAATTACAGCAAAGCAGTATCTTAGGAAAAAGATGTGCATATAGTATCTGTTAAGCTGAAGTATATGGAAATAACAGACTTCAGCTTTGTGGAACTGATCTCTGTGGCGAATAGCAGGTAAGAACTGACTTAAACATTCTCATTAGCTCAGATACCTCACCACCTCTCTGTCTGAGAGATGAATTATGATGTATTCCTCTTGTATGTCCTTTGACCTTAAGGTTTTTCCTTTGTAAAGTGCCATCCATCCAGATATAAATAGCAAAGTGAGACATTAGCTGGGGACTATTGATCATCCCTGTGACAATTCAGATGGCACAGTGCTCAAAACATCAGCTGCAGCCTGCGTGCTGTGTAC